GAAGACCACCATCTAGCTGCCATGTACCCTAACTTTTACCAACAGAAATGTTTGTGTGGGCAGCCCTCCCCAGTGCCCAGGCCAAGGGCCATGTTCAGGCCCAGTGTCTGGGTGTGGGATCCCTTAACACGACCTGCATGGTTCAGGGCCCACTCAGGGTCTGGTTTCTGGAGAAGGCCACACACTAAAATGAAGAGAGAGACTGGAAAAAGAGTTAATTTGGGAAAATGGGGGCCAGGCGGGGAGTCCACCTCTAGTGGGAAGACTAACCTCTCTCTGGCCTTTTACCATTCCTTTTATTGAGATTCTGAGACAAAGACATCTCTTAGGCGGGAAGTTCCAACAACAGAAAATCAACAAGAATTTACATTTACATATGATTAACAAATTAAAGTTGCCTCAACCACTACTATCTCAACTAGATGATGAGTTAATAGCTCCGACCATTCAGAGCCATCAAGGTTGGCTAGCTCTTCCTACATTTTACTACCAGGGAATAAATGTTTGGTTTCGGTTAGCCAGCTCTTTCTACATTTTACCACCAGTGACTTAACTTAGAGTTAATGAGTTAATCGTTCTGACCATTCAGAGCCATCAAGGTTGGCCAGCTCTTTTTACATTTTGTTACCAGTGACTATGTTAGGTTTTGGTTTCGGCATCTGGGCACAAGCAAATCTTCACCATGTTTTCCTTCATTGAGGGAGCAGAGAAAGGGCCTGGGGAACCTGCGAGGGAAGCAACTAAAGGAAAGGGGGCTGAAGACAAATACTGGACCTTTTGACCCCACCTAGAAATACCACAAAGCATCCCCTGAACTCAACAGACAAGTCTCCTGATCCTTCACTTTGGCTTCCTCGGGCCCATTCAGTTCTAGTTTACCCTATAAAGACAATTCTTCTTCAAAAGGGTCATACATCCCAGAACTCACATAGTCATCCTAAGTTCAAATTCTGGCAGAAACAGCCTTGTTTATGGCACCTTCTGGAGGTTAGGACTCCAGAACACAGCCTTCTCTATGGAAATTCTGGAGTTTAGGACTCCAGTACATAGCCTTCTTTATGGAACCTTCAGGAGGTTAGTGTTAGAGAATGGGAATATTTGAGCACTCCGGAGAGGCCGTGGACTATGCCCCAGATAGAGTTGTCAGTGCTGACACCAGGCCAGGCCTTGAGATATGGTCTCATGGCCCCTTCCCAGTTGCACCTCACAAAATAGCCTTGCAAGTTAGAACACTGAGGAGGAGAACCAAGATGATGGCCTAGGTAAGCTGCCGCCTCACACAACAATTTTAAAAACAACAACTAAAATCAGAATGGACTTCATCTAAAAACACAGAAAAGCTGGCAGAGTGGGAAATCTACAACTAGAAAGGAGAGAGGCTCACAGATTGGATTGGAAGCCGCAAAGCGCTGAGTGGAGTTATGACATTACTGGCATCTGTCACAGAGACATCTCCAAGACATTGAGCCATCAATCAGCGCCTGCCAAAGTGTCCTGGAGCCCACCCCTTCCTGTTCTACCCTGGGTCCAACCCTCTTCTGTTCCTCCCCTTTAAAAAAACCTCAGACCATCCACGTGCTGCTGATCCTCCATGTCCAGGTGGCAGCCCGGCTGGGTCCATCCCCCCTCCCAACTCCTCCAATTCTGATTTCTCTACCTCCGTAATGAGTCCCGCTCATTACCGGGGAATAAACTTTACTTTAAAACTCCTTGGTGGTCAGTTTCCTGCGCCTCAAACCTTACAATTGGGAGACACTCTCATGCAGAGAGGAAGTGCAGCCGAATGCCTGGCTGGCGGGAGGGGAAAGGAATTCCCTATTGCACTGAACCCTTTCCGACTGTACTGAACCCCAACCCCGGCTGAAACCCCATGGACCCAGGCTCAAACGGGTGGAGTCTGGACTGTAGAGAAAGGCACCCAGAGACTGCAAGGTCTACAGTCGTGCGCGACTGAGTACGCACAGAGGTCTGACCGCGGAGGTTGCCGCTGCCTCTCCATAGCAGAAGGAGTCAGAAGTTCCAGACTACAGAGACCCAACCCAATTCCAGGCGAACCCCTGGGCACTCCCACTCTTGCATGGGGGCCGGTCAGGTGGAAACTCAGGGGCGTTGCAGAAGGCAGAGGTCAGGCGGAAACTCAGGTGAGTGCACAAGGGTAGGGCTGACGGGAAGTCTAGACTGTCAGCTCAGCCCTGAGACTCTGCCCCATCCAAGCTGAGCACAGAGGCTTCTGCAATTTTGCAAGTCTGATCCTATAAGACTGTCTCCAATACAGAAGGTATCCCAGAGTAGACACAGCTGATACCCACATCCAATTGGCTTGAAGGTCAATTCCTCCCAGGGATACCAACAACAATAAAGACTTAGCTACAACAAGGCTGTACACGCAGTCCACAAAAGGGAGCACCAAGAATGTCTACCTCAGGTAACTGAGGAGGCTGACCCACTGGGCCATATAGGACACCAAACACACAAAGCCATTCTACCAACTCTGGGAAGCAACGAAAATGCCAAGACAAGGAAATAGATCTCAAGCGAAAGAGATGGAGAACAAAAGACTGGATATAGAGTTCAAAACCACGGTTATAATGTTTTTCAAGAATTTCCTAGAAAAGGCCGATAAATTTATTGAGACCGAACTAGAAATTAAACATAAACTGACTAAAATAAAAAATAAAAATATTATACAGAGATCCAACAGCAGACTGGAGGATCACATGAATCAAGTCAAAGATTTGGAACACAAAGAGCCAAAGGATACTCCTCTGGAGAAGCAAGAAGAAAAGAGAATCTAGAAAGTTGAGGATAGTGTAAGGAGCCTCTGGGACAACTTCAAGTGTGCCAACATCAGAATTTTGGGGGTTCCAGAAGAAGAGAGAGTGCAAGATACTGAAAACATATTTGAAGAAATAATTTCAGAAAATTCCCCCCACCTGGTGAAAGAAATAGATTTATAAGTACAGGAAGCATATAGAACCCCAAACAAGAGGAATCCAAAGAGGACCACACCAAGACACATAATAATTAAAATTTCAAGAGCAAAAGACAAAAAGAGGATCTTACAAGCAGAAAGAGAAAAGCAGTTGGTTACCTATAAGGGAGCACTCATACGAATATCAGCTGATTTCTCAACAGAAACTATGCAGGCCAGACGGGAGTGGCAAGAAATATTCAAAGTGATGAATAGCGAGAATCTACAACCAAGATTACTGTATCCAGCAAAGTTATTCAGAATTGAAGGTCAGATAAAGAGCGTCACAGATAAAAAAAAAAAAAAAAAAAAGTTAAAGTAGTTCTTTACCACCAAACCAGTATTATATGAAATGCTGAAAGGTATTATTTAAAAAGAGGAAGAAGATTAAGTGAATTAAAAATCTGAGGAACAGAATAAACTGGTGAATATAATAGAATCAGGGGCAAAGAAAGGGAGTGGATTGATAATTATCAGGGGGAAGGGCTGTGTGGGTGTAGAAAGAGACTGGATTAAAATCATACACCTGTGGATGAGGACAATGGTGGGGGGGAGGTGAGGGCAGAGGGTGGGGCTGGAACTGGGTGGAAGGGAGCTATGAGGGGAAAAAGGAGAAACAATTGTAATAATCTGAGCAATATTTTTTTTTAAAGGATAGAACACTGTCAGCTTTCTAAAGTACAAGATGACCCTGTAAATAAATGGTCATCAATAGCATGGCCCTAACATTATTTGGGAAAAACTGGCTTTGTCTTGGGTTGCTTACTCTGCAAAAACAGGGTGTGGTTAATCTGCTTAAAAGTGGTCTTGCACAAAGGGTCGGGGCTGCTCTCTGACTTCCCTGCGTGGAGAGAGAACAGTTGTCCGCCGGCAATTAAAAACACCCTAAATTTTAATTTGGTCTGGACTCCAGTGGTCGTTCACTCAGTTAGTACTCCAGAACACAGCCTTCTCTATGGAACCTCCTGGATCACACCTTCTCTGTGGAACCTTCTGGAGGTTAGGACTGCAAAACACAGCCTTCATTAGGCCACACTTTCTGGAGGTGAGGGCTGCAAAACACAGCCTTCTTCATGGCACCCTTTCTGGAAGCTATGATTCACCCCGCTTTCCTCCCCCCATTTCCCCAGGATGACGTAGTTGTTCCTCTTATATTTATTAGCTCCGCCCTCAGTGATGTTTAATCAGATCTGAAGCCTCGTCGGAAGCTCTTGCCACACTCCAGACGGCAGTAGGTTTGCCACCCACGAAGCTGCTTTGGTGAATGTCAGGGACCTACGCTTCGGTCAGTCCACGGTCCTGGCACTCACAGGCTTTGGAGATTGCGGGATAGTTGGTTTTGGCAGGAGCTTCTTTCTCCCAAATCCAGAGGCGAGTGTGGACCAACAAGCAAATATCTACTAGCCCGAGATGCTCTAGGAAGTGGCAGCGAGTGGTTTCTGTAAGTTTAACTCTCTCATTCAACTGACCGATCAGGAGCTCCCCGTCTGCGGCCGCTATCAAGTATTTGATACTTTGGTCCTGGCTCGGGATTCTCAATGCCTCAGAGCGGACTTTAGTACCCACTTCGCTGGGGGGCGGCGAACCGAGCCAGAAGGAAAGGGTGGTCGTTGCCGAGGGCACCCTGGGGGCGGACTACACGTCACCTAGTGCAGCACGGTACGGAGACTCCATGGTCGCATGCCTGGGATCTCCAGGTGCACAGCGCACTGCGGGTCCCCTGGGAGACTTTCTCATCCCTACTAGAGCGGGCGTGTGCTAGGCGGGAACTACATATCCCAGCATGCACCGCACGCACCGCCTGGGCTCGCGCAGCGACTAGAGAACTACTGCCCTCGAAGTGCTTTCTGCGACTGTGCAAGCGTCAGAGTGCCGGGTTCGGGAACTACAACTTCCGACTTGCCTACTGACTGCGGCGGCGCCATCTAAACGGCGTCAGAGAGGAGGTGCCTGGCCGCGCCCCTCTCTTCCAGTTCCTCTCCCTCAGATCGGAGGCTGGAGGGGGGCGGAGCCTTAGGCCCGAGCCAAGATGGCGGCTGCGAAGCCAACCCCTACGGACTCGCTCTCTTTCTGCCTCGCGCAGCTCTCGGCGGCGGCCGGGGAGGGTCTAGGTGGAGCAAAGGATACAACTACCAACGAGACACCCTTGGGCCGTGCGCTCTTAGCTCTCCGCACGCGCCACGTCAAGGCAAAGGGGGGAATCGAGCGCTTCCGGGCACGCGGCGGGCTCCTCCCCCTTCTGGCGCTGCTACGGCGAGCGTCGGCGGTGGATCCCGCCCCGTGTCTGGCCGGCCCTGGCTCCTCCCCTTCGTCGATCGAGTCTGCTGCTTCGGCTGGCCCCGCCCCTTCGGCTGGCCCCGCCCCCTCCTCTGCGTCCTCATCGACGCCCTCGCCGCCTGCGCGCCTGCGCAAGACCCTGGACTTGGCGCTCAGCATCCTGGCCAACTGCTGCACGGAAGGGGCGTGCCGGACTGAAGTGCGCAGACTCGGAGGCATTCTGTCTTTGGGTAAGTGCTCCGCCCCCGTGTCCTAGAAGGACTCCACGCACTCCCCATCCCGGCCTGGGCTTTGGCGGCGTCTTGAGTTCTTTGTGTTGTATCCCGGAAGCACAGGCGTGATGACAGCGCGGTGCCCACCCTTCTCAAGCTTTCACGCCCCGTTAGGTTACAGCGCTGTTACACATTATACTCGAGCTCTCTCAGATCAATAATTACAGCCATTTCTCCCTCGCCTCTGGGCTGGTGAGGCTACAGGGATTATTTGGTGACTTTTCGATGATTTTCACCCTCCCTTTATGAGGGTCATGGCAGACAGTGTCTCCTGAATGTCCGGCCCTGTGCAGGGCTGTCATCTGATGAGATGTAGTGGTCAGAAAAGTGGGCTCTGCAGTCAGCTGGACCCCTAGAGGCTAGGATTCCTTGTTGCTGATGGGATAATAATAGCTACCTCGCAGACCTGGAGATGGGGGAAATGAAATGCAGATACAGAAAACAGATACTCTAAACATGAACTGGGCACTTCAGCTAAAAACAAGCAGTTAACAAATCCTAACAAGACAGCAAGCTTTTCTGTTTCCCAGCTAAGTTGGCGCGCCCTAGTGGCAACGTTGTGAATATAGTTTACTTACAGCCTGTATGAAATTATACGGGTTAAAAAGTGTTTTATTGATTTCAGAGAGATAGAAACATCAGTGATGAGAGAGAATCATTGATCAGTTGCCTCCTAAATGCCCCCTACTGGGGTTTGAGCCCGCAACCCAGGCACATGCCCTGACAGGAAATTGAACAACCACTATTAACACCAGCCAGGTGATATACCAATTTTGACAAAATCTTAAAATTTGGGGTAATGAAACATATGTTGATATTTTAAATGTGCATAAAATGCATCTGGACCAAAATATGTTTGACAGGAGGTCTGGCACATTAGTCTTCAATAAATTAAATATTTTATTATTAGTGTACAACCCCCATCATTCAGTCACTAGTCTGCCTTTTGAATATCTCTGTAATCCATCCACTTCTCTCCCTCTTCCATCGTGTGCCCAGAACCCTGTCCCCATGTCCTGGGCTGTGCTGGAAACTGATTTGGTTCAAGCAGCTGTTCTTTCTCACCTAGACTATTGCACCAACTTCCTTCATGTGTCCCCTGCCTTATTCTCCCCCCTATGATCCATTCTCTCTCCTGGCTGCCAGATTCTAGCACACATTCCTATTCTTAAAGCCTGATGTGGCTCCGAGGGCCCTCACATTCAAGCCCTGATTATTTGGCCTGGCATTCAAGCCCTTCATGAGGTCATAGCCGACACTGAGTCTCACCTCTGGATCCTTGCAAAGGCTGATTCCAAACCTGAAATACCCTGTTACAGCCCCATCCATCCTCCTCCTACTAAGCCCGTACCTATTTAACCTTCTAGACCCAATGCTAGTTTCTACTGGAGGCCTTTCCTGATCCTCTGAGGCCACACTCCTGAGGTGGTTAATGAGACAAGAAGGGATAGAACCTTCAGGAGGCCAAACTCTCTTGCAGTGACTATTCTTCAGTGTGTGAAGACAGACAGCATCCAGAACCGAGCAGCCCGTGCTCTGGGCAACTTAGCCATGGACCCTGAGAGCTGTGGGGACATCCATTCTGCTGGTGAGAGGCTGTGAGGGCGGAGTTAGCTTCGGGTGGGACAGGGGCCTGGGTTTCTGTCTCTGCTCACTGTGTCCTCCCCCTCCCTCGACAGGTGCTGTTCCCCTCCTCATTGAGAGCCTGACGACCTGCCAGGACTCGCACTGCCTGCAGAGTGTGGTCCGTGCCCTCCGCAACCTGGCGGACTCCCCCCAGCACCGCCTGGCCCTGGCACAGCAGGGGGCAGTGCGCCCACTGGCTGAGCTTCTGGCTGCTTCCCCAGACCCCGCGCTGACCTTGGCCCTCGTCCGTGCCCTCCAGGAGCTGAGTCGAGGCTGCTCCCGTGCCTGTGCGGAGCAGCTGAGTCTGGGTGGAGGACTAGGCCCACTGGTCAGTCTAGCCGCCCATCCCAAAAAGCAGGTCTGCGAGTCAGCGATCCTGATCCTTGCCAATCTGTGTGCCCAGGGCCTGGTACGGCCTGCACTGGGCAATGCTGGTGGCGTGGAGGTGCTACTGGGTGAGCTCCAGCAACGCCGAGGCCCCAATGGAGCTGGCCCAGCCTCCCAGCAGCCCCTAGTGCGGGCTGTGTGCCTACTTTGCCGGGAGGCCATCAACCGAGCCCGGCTGCGGGATGCCGGTGGTTTGGAGCTGCTGATGGGCCTGCTGCGGGACCCTCACGCCAGCGCCTGGCACCCTCGTGTGGTGGCTGCCCTTGTGGGCTTCCTCTATGACACAGGGGCCCTGGGCCGGCTGCAGGCTCTGGGGCTGGTGCCTCTCCTGGCCGGGCAGCTGTGCGGTGAGCTTGGTGAAGAGGAAGAAGAGGGAAAAGAAGCTGCTTCCTGGGACTTTCCTGAGGAGCGGACCCCCGAGCGGGTGGAAGCTGGAAGCTTCCGAAGCCTCAGGTGGGTCCCTCCCTGAGCTCTGGCACGGACGGGGTTTGTGTCTGCTCTGGCCCTCTCCTCTCCCGTCACCCCTCTGTCTCAGGAAGACTTTTACTGTCTCCTGGTCCCTTGTTTTCCCACACATGGCCACTTTCTAGTCCCCATTAAATGCACCTTCTCTCCCCTGCGTCCACCCTTGACCTTGGCTCCACCCCGGGACCTCTGAACATTGGGGTCCAGAGAGGTCCCTGGAAGCAGAATGTGCTCTGGCTGTGATGGTGTGCTCTGGAGCCCACGTTCTTATTTTGGTGCCACCAGTTATCATGGGAAAGTCAACTTCTTTGAGCTTCTAATTCCTTGCATGAAAAATGGAGGATAGTCACACATGCCTTCCCATACACTTGTAAAGCATAAATGAGGGAGCTGGGCACCTGTCAGTTGTCTTATGAGCTCTCTGAATTCATCTCCTAAGGCTCCTCCTGCGGTCCCCTCCGCTCTTGCCCAATGCCCCTGGCTAGTTCTCCACGAGTCCTCTGGGCCTCTGGCTGCGGTTCTGTCCCCAAGAGCCCTCTTCCTCCTGGATTCCTCGATCAGGCCTCACCTCTCAGGGGGCTGCCATCCCCACTGGTTTTTAATGTCAGCTTTCCCTCCCTCGGCTCCTTTCTATTCCTTTCCCCTCTTCAAACTCCACACCTAAAATGGGGCTTGGCACAAACAGACATGGGTCATTGCTGAATGATTGGGGTTTCCCCCTCCCCTCTGGCCGCCTCCTCTTCCGGGCTCTGTCCCCTCCTTTTAGAGCTGCTCCCTCGCGTGGCTCTGAGCTCAGTCCTCTTTTCTCTCCTCCGCAGGGCCTGGCTGATATCGGAGGGCTACGCCGCAGGCCCCGCGGACATCTCCCCGGACCGGTCTCCAGAGCGCTGCCCGCTGCCGCCTCCGCCGCCCGCGCCCCCGGAGCAGGCCCAGGCAGCCAGCCCGGCCCGCGGCCCCACCGTGGTGCGGACGCCTCGAGGCCGCAGCCCTGCCACCGAGGAGCCGTGGGGCCGCGAGGGGCCGGCGCTGCTGCTGCTCTCGCGCTTCTCCCAGGCTCCGGACCCCAGCGGGGCGCTGGTGACAGGCCCGGCCCTGTGCGGCCTGCTGGCCTACGTGACCGGGGCGCCCGGCCCGCCCAGCCCGCGTGCGCTGCGCATCCTGGCGCGCCTCACCTGCAACCCCGCCTGCCTGGAGGCCTTCGTGCGCAGCTATGGCGCCGCGCTGCTGCGCGCCTGGCTGGTGCTGGGGGTCGCCCCGGACGACTGGCCCACGCTGCGGGCCCGGCCCCCCAGCCTGCGCAGCCAGCACCGGGAGCTGGGTGAGTCCCTGCCCTTCCCGCTGGCTGTCTGCCACTCACCCTCAGGGAGCCCAGAACCTCACCTTACACTCCTCCGTCTCTCACTGCCCTCGGCCCACATCCGCACCACCCAGCACCGGGGTAGAGGGTTCCATCCCGCCCCTCCTGCTCCACCATCCCTGCCCCAGAGTGCAGCTCCATCCCGGGCCCACGTTTTGGGGCCCCAACAATTTAGAATTGCACCTGTTGGCGTTTCCTTCCCTAATCTACTCTGGGTTCTGGGGGTCATTGACTTGTGAAGCCAGGCTCAGGCGCCATGTCCTTTCAGGCCCCACACCCACACCCAACACTACCAGGGTCTGCTGTCTCCTGGGCCCCTGCTCAGCCCTGACATCCCACTTCCTGTTCCTGCCCTCCACTTCCAGTTCCTGGGCCCTGGGTTCTTGCCCTGAGGTTTTACCCACCTTTCTTTCGGGCCCGGAAGCCTGTGTTACCCATCCCTCCCCAGTCTCGGACACCAGCTCCCGAGTTGACCGACTCTACCCACCCCTGCAGGTGAGATGCTGCTGCAGAACCTGACGGTGCAGGCCGAGTCGCCCTTTGGAGTGGGTGCCCTCACTCACCTGCTGCTCTCCGGGAGCCCTGAGGACCGTGTGGCCTGTGCACTGACCTTGCCCTTCATTTGTCGGTGAGGGGGATGGGGGTGCTTGCAGGGGGCAGGGAGCGAGGTTGCTATTGCCCAGTCGCACCTTTTCCACCTTCTGAAAGATTCTCTCTCCCCGTAGGAAGCCCTCTCTGTGGCGCCGGCTCCTTCTGGACCAAGGCGGCCTCCGGCTCCTCCTCTCGGCCCTGACGCGGCCAGCTCCGCACCCACTCTTCCTCTTCTTCGCTGCAGACTCCCTCTTCTGCCTCCAAGGCCTGGTGTCGCCCACTGCGAGCCCAGCCCTCCCACCTGCAACCCCCTTGGACCCAGACTCGCCCTCCCATTGCCTCTATGAACCTCTGCTGGGCCCAGCTCCCGTCCCAGCCCCGGATCTGCACTTCCTGCTGGACTCGGGCCTCCGGCTCCCTGCACAGCGAGCTGCCTCATCCACTGCCTCCCCTTTCTTCCGGGCCCTGCTGGCTGGCAGCTTTGCTGAAGCCCAGATGGACCTGGTACCTCTTCGCGGCCTGTCGCCCAGCGCGGCCTGGCCGATCCTGCATCACCTGCACGGCTGCCGGGGCTGTGGGGCAGCGCTGCGGCCCATTCCCCCGCCAGGCCAGCCCCTGCTGGGCTCAGAGGCTGAGGAGGCACTGGAGGCCGCCGGCCGCTTCCTGCTGCCTGGGCTGGAGGAGGAACTGGAAGAGGCTGTGGGCCGGATCCACCTGGGATCCCAAGGTGGCCCAGAGTCAGTGGGTGAGGTATTCCGCCTGGGCCGGCCCCGGCTGGCTGCCCACTGTGCACGCTGGACCCTGGGGCCAGGGCAGTGCCCACGGAAGCGGGCTCTGGCCTTAGTGGGGCTTGTGGAGGCAGCAGGCGAGGAAGCAGGTCCCCTGACTGAGGCTTTACTGGCTGTGGTGATGGGAGCTGAAGTGGGGAGCAAGGGGCCCAGCCTAGACTCTTGATATCCCCTCGGAGGGGACCCGAGAATGAATTACCAAGAAGAAGGCCTCCCTCAGACTGGCTCAGGGAGGATAAGCAGCAGTCACCACTGAGGACCGACGAGAGGTTGGAACTGGGCCCCAGGACGATGGGCTGAAGACTCAGGAGTGAGAAGCCGAGGCCAAGGTCTGGGCATGGGGCGCGCGAGATGGGGACGAGCCCAGCCTTCGGGAGTGGGATTAAAACTTTGGAGTTGGATATTCCTGTTGTGTGTGTCTCTGCCTACTTTCCTGTGGGCATCTCCTCACCCTTCACCCACCAGGAGGGTCTTGTCTAGGTCTCTGTGCCTCAATGTAGGCCGCCCTGCCATGAAGGAGTTGAGTAGTGATAGGCCGTGGTTCCCGGAGCCCTGGGATAGGGTAGAGCTCCAGGCTTCTCTCTAGGGCCTAAGGGAAGCCTGCTTCCTGCTCACGTGACTTCATTGCTCAGACAGCCACTCAGCTGACCAGACCTTGCTCAGGCTGAGCAGGCTGTGCTGAGGGAATGCTGAGTTTGGTGAGGTATGGCATGGCCCTGGCATTGCAGTTTTCTGATGGCCCTGCCATCACCCACCTTGGCCTTCCATCTCTGGGGTCTGTTTTCACCTCTTGGGCCAAGTGTCCTCCTGCTGTGTTCCTGCCTTAGTCATGCCCAGAGAGAGCCTGGCCTTAAGGTGAGGGAGGAGCTTGTGTTATTTTGGTCTCCAATGCAGAGCCTCCGTCACCTAGCTCCCAGGTCCCTGAGCACGCAGGTGGCAGCCTAATAGGAGAATGCCTGGACTGAGTCTGCCATTGGCCTCAGAGGAGGCTGGCACTGCTGTCTCCAGGAGTGCATGTCTGTCCAAGTGTCTGATCAGTCTGTACATTAGAACCACCAGGGAGCTTGTTCAAGATATTTACACATATTGATGCCTGAGCCCTTTCTGATTGAATTGGGCTGAGGGGAGAGTACCCTGGACACCAGATTGTTCTGATTTCCTGCTTTTTTTGTTCTGTTTTTTTCTCCTTCAGTTTAATTGACATGGCCTATTGCCTTGCAGAAAAAACATGAATTGAAGATCAGTTCTTGTACAGATCTCAGCTCAATATCAGAGTTATTTTATAAGAGGTAGTATTATCAGATATAACTATACCATTGAGAACTATCAGAGTTATTTTATAAGAGATAGTATTACCAGATATAACTATACCATTGAGAACTATCTATGACACTATGATTCTTATTATAGAGGCTCAGTGCACAAAATCTGTGCACTCATCGGGGGGCAGGGGCCCTTCCTCAGCCTGGCTTGCGCTCCATCACAGTCAGGAGCCCTCGGGGGATATCTGACTGACAGCTTAGGTCCACTGTCAGTCGGACATCCTTAGCGCTGCTGCCACTGCACTTGCCAGCCATGAGCCCAGCTTCTAGCTGAACAGAGCTCCCCTGTGAGAGTGCACTGACCACCAGCTCTGTGATGAGCATCTGCCCCCTGGTGGTCAGTGCACATCATAGCGACCAGTTATTCCACCACTTGGTCTATTTGCATATTAGCCTTTTATTATATAGGAATTTTTTCTGAATTATAGTTTAAAACAAGGATTGTACCCTATTGTACCTTTGTAAGTCTTGTTTTTAGCATTTACTCCATCTACAACAACACTGTATACCTCAATTCCACATCCAAAAAGGTGTGCACAGTAAGAAGTTACTTTTAAGTAAAAATGACAGCCCTGTCTGGTGTGATCAGTGGTTAGAGCATTGGCCCACACGTTGAAGGGTTGCAGGTTCGATACCTGGCCCTGATTGGGGCACATATGGGGAGGCAACAAATCAATGTGTCTCTCTCACATCAATGTTTCTTTCATCCCTTACCTCCCTCTCTCCCTTCCACTCTCTCTAAAAAAAATCAATGGAAAAAAATATCTTTGGGTAAGGGTTAACTCACTCACTCAATAAACAAATAATAGGCCAGCCAGCGTGGCTCAGTGGTTGAGCAGTGACCTATGGACCAGGAGGTCACAGTTCAATTCCGGTCAGGCCAAATGACCAGGTTGCAGGCTTGATTCCCAGTAGGGGGAGTGCAGGGTACAGCCGATCAGTAATTATTATCATCATTGATGTTTCTCTCTTCCTCTCCCTTCCTCTCTGAAATCAATAAAAATAAAATTTTAAAAATTAAATAAAATTACACATATAAATCAAAGCCTATGTGAAATATTAAATACTCTCTCCACTTAACAAAACCACCATTTTGTATGGAATAATTTTCAATGATGCTATTATTATATTTTGTAAATGCAATGAGAGGAAACCCATGCTTTCGTGGCATGGTGGTGGGCACATCAGCTCATGTGGCCTGCTGAATTTTGAAGACTAAAGTGCTCAGGTCTGAATTGAGACCCACAATCCAGTGGTTACAGCACCATTGTGTCTGTCCATACCAACTATAGAGGGTCTCATTTCAATCTTTTAAAAAATATATATATTTTTGTATTGATTTTAGAGAGGAAGGGAGAGAGAGAGAGAAACATCAATGATGAGAGAGCATCATTGATCAGCTGCCTCCTGCACGCCCCCTACTGGAGATCAAACCCACAACCCAGGAATATGTCCTGACCAGGAATTGAACTGTGGTCTCATGGTTCATAGGTCGATGCTCAAACACTGAGCCACACTGGCCAGGCTCGTTTCAATCCCGATTTCTCAGAGTCTTGGTCCAAGGAGGGCTTCTTGTTCCTTTGTGGCTGGCTGCTGTGTATATCTTGCCTTCTTTGCTGTGTTCATTGTATCTTTGGGAACAGGTCTGGGATGCCTCTTGGGGAAGGGCCTTGTCTTGCAGGCGGGCCGGGGGCTGGCTGCCTGGGAGTGTTTCCTCAGCCTGCACGGCCTGGGTTTCAGTGGAACTCTGTGTCTGTTTTCCAGTCTTGGAGGAAAGGCCCTGCCTTACGGTCTGAGGAGGGTCCATTGTGTCTGTGTCTGTGTCTGTCTCAGAGATGTCTTTGTGGTTAGTACTGTGCCTTTGGGGTCTCTGTTTATGGCCTGTTTATCTGGGTCTCTAAGGGAAAGTCTCTGAACTGGCATCTGCCTGAGTTTCAGAACATCATTTCTGCTCCAGCTCCAAACCCTGCCTGGGGGAAGTCTCAGGAAAGGCTGGGTGGGAGCGGGCTCTGTCTGAGACTCGGGGTGCTAACTCGGAGAGGTGTCTGCTTGGGGGCCTCGGTCTGAGTCTGAGGGTGGCCCGGGGCGGACGGTCCCTCCCGGGCACCGTCTGGAGGAGCCACTTCTCTGGCTCTGGCTGCGGCCGCCTGGGGCTCCCTGCAGCCGAGGCCAAGGCTGGGGTGTGGCTGCCTCCCCGCAAGCAGGCTGGCGGGCTGGGCCTGCGTGGACCGCAGCCCTCCCTCCCTTACACGCCCCCACCCAGGATTCTCCCCTTCGTTGCCCCCCACCTTTCCCTCCAGCCCCATCCCAACGGATCCCGGCTTCCTTACATGGTCACGGCTGGGCCTCCAGCTCCCGGACGTCCTCCCCCCCACCCCGCCCTCCGCCCCCACCGGACACGGCCCCCGCCCTGCGAGCCCAGCGTGGTCCGCCTGTGCCCCACCATGGAGGACCTGGGTGAGTAGGGCCGGGTGCCCTGCGCCCAGCCCCTCATCACCCTCTGGACCCGCTCCCCATCCTGGCGCCCCCGGCCCTCCCCGCATCTCCCCATCCTGCCTCCTGTCTGCTCGCTCCTGCGCTCAGCCCGCGCCTCTTTCCGACTCCACGTCCCCCTTCCTGCCTCTCCCTTCCTGCCTCTCCCGGCCGCCGCTCCCTCCCCCTCCTCCCGGCCCCGCACCCCCGCTGCAGCCGCCGCCACCGCCGCCGCAGGGAGATGCGTGCGGGGCTCAGCGGCTCCAGGATGGGAGGGTCGGTGGGGTCCTGGGTCCGGGATGGGAGAGGAGGCAGGAAAGGGAGGCTTGGACATCAAGTTGTGGAAAAGAAAGGGGCCTGCCCGGGGGGTGGGGAGGAAAGGGTTAAGGGTCCCTAAGTTTAGTGGGTGCCGGGAGAGGTTAGGGTCCCGGCGAGGTGCTCTAGGTGAAGGGTGAGGGGGCAGGGACTTGTGGGTTCTGGACGGGAAAGGGGGTGAGGGTGGGGTGGGGTGGGGTGGTGGTGGTGTCGGGGAGAGAAGGAGGCGGCATTCTGTGCTCCCTGTCTGTTGGAACTGGGGCTGGGAGGCTGTGCCCTCCAACTGTGAGACAGAAGGGGTTCCAGCGCCCTGCCATAGGGGGCGCTGCTCCGTAGGGGTAGCGGGCACTGGTACTGCGGAGAATGAGCCAATCAGGAAGCAGGTCCCCGCAGACCCACCAATGAGGTGCGTAGGGTGGGACGGGGGCCTGGAGGTGAGCCAGAGCGGAGCGGGCCGGGCCGGGTCCGGAGGAATTAGTGGGCGGGGCAAAGAGCGCCCAATCAGAAGGCCGGGTGCCAGGCATGCAGCCAATTGAGCAATTTGGGGTGGAGTCAACGTTGGCTTCAGTTAAGAGCCAATTTTGACTGCATTAGGGAAGATTTTAAGAATTAAAAAAAACAGACGGCTGCGTTTGTGCACGACTCCCAGGAAGAGCCAATTGGGATATTCTGGCCGAATGTATTCCTTCCTGCCCTTCCACTTCTCCGCCTGGCTCTGGCCTTGCCTCCTTCTGAATGCCGGCTTCTGTCCTCACATACTGCCCACTGGGAAGCCTTATCCCTTGGTATCTTAAGGCCCCGTCTCTGCCCTAACCTTGACCTCTCAACTTCTCACCTTGACGGCCTCCCTGCAGATGCCCTGCTCTCGGACCTGGAGACCACCACGTCACACATACCAAGGTCAGGGGCTCCAAAAGAGCGGCCCCCAGAGCCCCTCACGTCTCCCCAGCCCCATGGCCACCAGCCACAGGTGAGATCAGATGCTGTGGACTGGGGCAACCAGCAGGGCTAGCCTGGCCAAGGCTAGGGGAATCTGGGCCTGAGTGAGG